CAGTACTGGCAAGTCTACGCATCTGTTACCGGAGCTGAGCAGGATCTGAGTCGCAGACTAGGTCTCTATCTGCTGAATCGGTGCAGTAGGTGTTGGCTGCAGTGTGAAACTGAGGCTCTGAAATTGCCCACTGCTGAAGGGAAGATATGAAGGTTCCTCTCTATTAGTTGTTCCTGGGCTAGAATTGCTGAATAGGTGCTGAGCTCGAATACATACAGTTGTTGTCTGACTCAGGACGAAGGCCCTACTCAAACTTTCTTGTCTTTCTACCTTTATCCATTATGCTCTCAGGAGAATACCGGCCCAACTTTAGGAATTTTCGGCCATACTCAGACACTGTCATCTCACCATAGACCAAGTTTGCAAACTCCATTTTTTTCAAATGCTGAAGATGCTCTAAGAGGTACTCTGCATTAAAGACTACTAGGAACTATTCCCAAATGACTGAAATGGGCAGGGTGGCTGGCTTCAGCTGCCACCAGCGACCTGCCTCACCCACTAGCATGTAGATAGCAAGTACAACTTTTTATTCGGGAACCACCCTAAAAGTCGCAGAAACCTTCTCCGTCTCCACTAACTAGTACTCGATCTCTTCGAAAGATGATCCCCCTGCAAAGGTAGATGGGTTAAGTCTCTTATATCTCTCAATGTAGCTCGAGTCCAGCATGGGCAGAACTGGGTCCCATTAAAGAGGGACTGGATTATGCTGGGGAGGGGCCAGGTGGCCCTGTAGCGACACCTGGTTGTATGGTGGGGGCACCGAATGATACTGTGGTGGTGTCGGATGATACGGTGGAGGAGCAAGGCTGTATTAGGGTGGCACTGGATCTTCTCGTTGCAGGGGTGGCTCATACTGTAGTAGTGGTGGAGGGTCAGACAACTCCTCATCTCTTCCCGGGCTTGTTGAACAGAGATAAGTCTCTCCAACATCTCAAAGAGTTGATCGACATCCTCTCAAAGCGACCTATCATGGGCTGCTTGGTTTAGTGAGGGTCTTCTTCTCTTCATATCTTTGTACTTACAGTTCACAAAAAAGGGTTGAGTGTCGGGTTGTATTTATATGATTTAAATTTTTGTATAAAGAATGGTTTCGAGGAACGCGACTCTGATACTAGCTAAAAAAACTCAAAACTTTTAGGAAATGAATATATATTGTATTAATAAAAGAATGGCGAAAGTAATTAAGAGTTTAAGATTTTCATTCATTACACAGTAAATCGGGATACCCAATAGGGCTAAAGAATATCCCTTTACGGAAGTTCAAATAACGAAATAAGTAAATAAAATAAAATATGACTAAAATTCTATAAGGTTAACCTCTACTGGGCAAGTGATGGAATTTAGGAGACAACTTTTATTCACAAACTTCTTACTATTAAGGATTTGGATCTTGGTCTTCATGATCTGAAATAGTTAAATAAGAGGGATGAACTATACTAGTCTAGTAAGAATATCACACTTAACACCGATACAGAAAATTAAAGGTTCGTAAAAATTGTCAAACAACTAATGAAACCATTATTTCTTTTCAAATAAATTCGTTTAACTTAAAACTATTATTTCATACTTACCCTTATGAGTTTCCAAAATCGACCTATGAAGACAATAACTGGAATAACATTTTTATTTCACACTTAAAGCAACAATAGTAATAAACTTACCTCCTTATCTGCTTACCAGTGTCTCTGGGGGTCCATATGGATATTCTCCTATGCATGAACCCAATATCAAATTATTAACCAATCGGTCGTCCCTATACCCCGTCCGGTAATGAGCGTCAAACATACCACCACC